GTAAAAAACTGAGCTGCTGTATTTTAAATAGAAGTGAAAGGTGCAGAGACGCTGCTCGCACTGCCTTGCTCTCATACTCCTGCAGTGGCGGCCCCTGAGGCCCCTCCATGGAACTCTATGGCTCCAGTGAATACAGTTTGAAAATACCAGGTCTAAACCACCCCTGTTTTACAGCTGAAAATACTGAGATTTTCTCACAATCACCCAGCTAATCCATTGCAGAGGCAGAGTTAAGATTTAGTGGTCTTGGAGAAGTAATACAACATAGTAGTTATGAGTGCATACCTTGGACTCACAGAGCCTCACTGTGTGACTTGGAAGGTTGCTTAATTTTCCTGAGCCTCTGCCTTCCCATGTGTAAAATGGGGATAAAATATATCTCACAGATTATATGTGATAGTACATGCAGATGACAGATTTCTTTTGGTTCATTGGTTAATCCCATAGTACCTTGTACATTGTAGATGCCTTATAAATACCTGTTTTAGGAATAAATGAAATTTTCAATTTGGAGAAAGATTATTCAATGTACTAGACTATGCTTGATTCCTCTTGTAGAAAGTATGATTTTGTTCTAACATTATTAAGCAGAGAGACACATGAATATTTGCATACAGCTTGATTTGGGCTGCATAGGCTCACTAAGATCCACTTTTAAGAATTGGCCTCTGGGCAACATGGAATCTGAGAAATGTTTGTCCTCCCACTCTGCCTCTCATGAATAGATTACCTGCTATGCCATGGCCTGCACAGAAACTGCAAGAATTGCTCAGCTTGTGGCTCGTCAGAGGAGTTCTAAAAGGAAAACTGGACGGCAAGTTAATTGTCAGATGAGAGTGAAGAAAACCATGCCATTTTTTCTAGAAGGTAGGGGCTTTTCGTATGCTAAAATTTTAAGGCCTGTCTATGAATACATTGTCATAAGAAATGTGGGAATATTACTTGTATTTATGATAAATATATCTGCTAACATTCGTATGTCAGGGGAAAAATCATGGAGCTGGCATTTGCATTTGAAATTATTAAGTAAACATGACTTACAATTATAAAAATAACTCAGCAGATTTTAATTAAGCTTGTTAAGTGTGTGGTTTTCTCTTTTAGATTATTCGAGGGAATGCCTTGTCCAGAATGTTAGATGAACCAAGAACATATGATTTAATGTCTTATATAGCAAATCATGTATTTTGATATAAAATCTCTATTTTCAGAAAAACATGAATTATATAGTACACAAAAGTGTTATAGACAACTCAGCCTGTGTTTACTGAACACTTATCTTAAGGAGCTTATAGTCAGGTCTAAAACTAAATTCTTGTGAAATAGTTCAATGATAATACAAAACAGTAGATGACTAAATGCCACAATGAGCATTTTAGACAAGGGAGAGATCATTATGAATAAAGATGGTAATGGAGGACTTCATGGCAAAGGGTCTGAGCCCAGACCTTAAATGATGGGTAGAATTTGGATTGATGGAGAAGAGATGGGAAGACTGAGGTACGGCTGAGCGTGCTGCATTTGTAAGAACGTGACGTGGCTGCCACTGAACTGTCCGTCAGTGAGTAGAAGGAGAGTTACTGGCTAGTCTGGTGGATGAAGAACCTCATCTACTAAATACTCATCAATCTATTCTTCCCCTACTGACCAGCCCTCCAGTGGCAACCTCCTTGTGTTCTTACAGACTGTTCTAAGAATAGACAGCCGCAGAAAACATCTGGTGAGGGGTGGGGAGCAGTGACATAATAAAACTAGGGTTTGAGAAAGCTAATCGATTCCATTATGTATGCCTAACTTCATAGGAAAACCAAAAGCAACCCTCAGACAACCAGGATTTGCTTCAGATTTTTCTATCAGCAAAAAACCTAATCAAACACTGTTAAGAGACAAAGGAAACTCTCTTGGAGTTAAGTCTGATGCTGAAATGCCACCTTATACATTACACACAACTCTTGGAAATGAAGTATTCAAAGACATTCCAGTGCAGAGGCATGTGACCATGTCCACCAACAACAGGTATTTGGGTTTTGTCTGATCGAAAAGAGAAGTTTGGTGAACCTAGGATAATAAATGTTAAAAATGTATGTTCAGGTTAAAAAAGAAATACTTTTTATGTGATCTAATATAAGTTCACATGTAAAGAGAAATGCATCATGACTAGTAAGTCTGCTCTCCCTGGCTGCCTGAACATCATTCTCTAAATGTATCTCCATTCTGTATTTTTTCTGCATTGCTGGTAGTCTCTCCTTGTAAAATCCATTTTAAAAGCGCTCATAAGTTGTTCTAAGATGGTATTTCAGTATAACTTACAACTTTTTCAGAAAACTTTCTTATAGTTAATTTTAGAAGTTTAAGTAAAATCTGATCAAGTTACATACTCCACTGTGCTCCAGTAATCATGTCTATAATTATACAGTAGCATCAGACACTCATCAATGAGAATGCTGGACTAGCAATAATAAGACAACCTAAAAGTCTTAGTTTGGGTGCTGCCATTCACTAGCCAGATAAAATTAATTATTTCATCTTTTGGGTCTGTAGTTTTGTCATTTGTCCAGTGAAAATGCTAAACTAGATGATGTCAAGTTCCTTTCTGGCTCTAAATTTTATGGTTTTATAAGGTAGTTCAGAGGTCAGCAAGCTACAATCCATGGGCCAAATCAGGCCCACTGCCTTTTTTTGTAATTAAGCTTTATTGGAACATGGCCATATGGTTTTGTTTGTATATTGGCTGTGGCTGCCTTTGGACAACAGTGGCAGAGTTGAGTTGTTGTACAGAGACTGGATGGCCTGCAAAGCCTAAAATGTACTATTGGACCCTTTATAGAAAAAAATTTGCTGAACCCTGATGTGGATGCATCAGTATCACACTCTTCCATCTGATTTGTGTTTTTTCAAAGCAAATTTTGTCATATCAATATACCTTTAAATCAGTTTTCAAAAAATTCTGTTTT